TTAATGGTTTTCGACGTTCTCGTTCCTTTTTAAAATTGTATTAACTGAAATTTTTTAAGTAGAAACATTTATGTTTAACCAACTCAAAATGGTCTAATTAAAATTATATTATGTTTTATATTATTAAAGATATTACGTGAGTCATAACCAAACAATCACTCTGTATTTTGTGAGAAATGTTTTTATTCAATATAAAATTACAGTAATAATTTTGAATATTGAAATTTAATCGAATGATTATTGTGTAATTTCGCATTATACTTAAAACTTAAATTAGGATGGCTAATATTAGATTACATTATTTTATTGATGAGTGTTTTTTTGAAAGTTATGAAAATTGTATTTTTTTTTTACTAAAGAAATTGCAATTTGAACTTTCAAAGTTATTCTCATTTTTAATTGTTCCTCAAGTACCATTTAGTTTTATATCATTGTTATAATTCATTTAAATAGTTTTCCATATAGTATCAGATTTTTATAATCATAAAACAGATCTTGGATATTTAACAAAATTTAGAGCACAATTTTTTGTCAAACTGTAATTGTTTTTATCTGTGACTTTTGTTGAAAAGCGTAAAATAGCTTTTGTTTCCTGTTTTAGTAATAAATATTTTTAATATCAATAAGATAAATAGGGGTACTACCAGATTTAATTTTTTTATATCGATTTTTATATTATAAATTATTAGTTTAAAATATAAAATTGTTGCAAAACTTTATATTAGTCATAATAAAATTTAATTTTCGGAATATCTTTACGTTTAAAACCTGTATTTGTACCTAAATACTGGTTATCCTAACCTTACTCTGTTTAAAAATTGCTAATTTAAAAATAATTATACGCTTCTGGTAAAACAGATGTACATATACTTTTGCACTTAAATTTGAATATGTATTAAATTTATTTGTACGTCAACGAATGTAAATTTGTTTTCTTCATCGGAAAAAAATGTGTTACATTTAAATGTATATTTACTACGTGTTCAAATTGATCAATTATCCAAATAATTTATAAGACAAAATTATTTAAAATTTTATACTTAGAAAAACAACTTTTATTTCATTTTTAATTTTCAATTTAAAACAGTAAAATACTGTTGGATTGCTTAATTTATTTTTAATTATCTCGAATTTCCCTAAAGAAATTTAGTAGTATTTAAATACTTATTAAAATTGGTAGAAAAATAATAGAACACTTTGAAATGCATGATACATGTATAATGATAATGACAAATAAACAATACTCTCCACCATAATTTCTCATAAAAAAGATTTATTGTAAATACATTTGATGTTGAAAAATAGTACCTCAATAATGTTTTGAGGGTTGTTCTTAAATCACGAGCTGTGACTGCGTCTAAATATTTTTGGTCCGGATGGATGGTTGTGTATAAAAAAAGTCGACAAAAAAAGTATTTGTTCATTTTTAAACCGCCAAGAACACTATAAATCATACCGAAATTGACTCGGTGAAAGCAGCGAATAAGAAAATAAATTAACGTTCGGTTGACCAAATCGTAACAAATCGACGGACGATTCGGACAGTTTTCTATTGCAGTTGTTTACGAGGGAACAAGACGAGGGCGAGGACTTATCCTTTTTAAAAGATAGTGTACTGTTGTATAGAAATAATGTTGTCTGTATATACATTAGAAATAGCCACTTGAATTGACCCTTCGTTTTGTACCAAGTGTACGTGTGTGTAAGAGGACATGGAACAGGACTAGCGTCTATTGTCATGCAATGAGCTCTTTTCGACTATCGCCACCGCTGGCATCGCTGTGCCTTCCATACTAAATAGATTTGTCTCTGTGTCCGAGAACCCATTGACAAGTAATGGACATGTAAGTGAAGTTATTTTACAATAAAACGTTATGCGACAAGTACTATATTAACACATGTACAACTGTGTATTCACTGCGTTTTGTAGTTTGAATAATGACTGACCCATACTAAATCGATAGTCACCACTATCATGGCTGCAAGTGGTAGTCTGAATGATGTATAGTAATATGGTGTTGTTCGTATACCGTTTTGTGCAATGGTAAGCGTAAGCAAAAAGCTAGGAGTGTTTTGAAGGGTATACATTGGCGTAGACCCAGTTTCAATTTTGAAAAAATATTTCAAATACACACATATACATTCTTATACGTTTGAATACATTAAAATAAAAATTACCATTTCCCTGTTCTCTGTAAACAAAACAATTATATTATTTTTTTGTTTATATCCCTTCCCCATTTGTAATATAAAAACCGTATGAAAGTGGTCATTAGGATCTTCTATTTAGGACTTGCAAATCTCTATTTGTTAAGCGTATAATCAATAATTTTTTTACAAATACTCCTCTGGGAAAAGCATAGAATAACTTTATTAGTCCGTTTTTTACTAGTAAAATTAGTATCTGTTAGCGGATTCCGTTATATAGGAAAAATGTGACGACGTTTTTGTGACAGAATATAGTAGTTAGTACTTCAAAAATTATTGTTAATACAATTCATCGACAATCTTAGATGAGTTATTGGTTCAAAAGTGAAGAAAAAAAATAATAGTAAATAATTATTAGGACTCGATTTTTTTATACTAAAAAACGCATTAAAAATAATGAAAACATTTACTAATAAGTATTAAGAAAGATTAAAAATACAAAATTACGCAATTAAAATATGCATGAAGAAAATAATTTGGCAAATTTAACTAACACCAACAGAAAATCAAATATTAGTAACTACATATTTAAAAATAAAAAACCAAATGGTAGCACTGTGGAGTCATGACATAGTTGGCACAAGTATAGATGATATCTGACAGCGGTTAAAATTACAATCATAAGAAACGCTTCGATGTAAATCTGTAGATAGTAATTAATTTTAAGAAATTGGTGGATTTTCCAAAATCAATATGAACTCCTATTTCTTTACTTATATTCTGATTATAAGCTTTATGATATATAAGTATAATATATGAATAAAAATTTAATACATTTTTTCAACTTCGACAGCCATTTGCACACATAGAAAATAGGTCGTCAGAACAAATTTTTACTTTTAATTTATGGTATTTAATATAAGCTTTAATTTAACATATGTTAAAAGGATGCAGTATTTCTGGAACATTTTCAAAAGTTGAAAAAGTTGACTTTTGTAATAAAATTGCTATTTTGAATCCCCCGCTCACAGGAAATTACCCTCATAAGAAACGCTTCGATGTAAATCTGTAGATAGTTTTTAATTTTAAGAAATTGGTGGATTATTCCAAAAGCAGAATGAACTCCTATTTTCTTATTTGTATCCACATTACAAGTTTTATGATTTATAAGTGTTATATATGAATAAATATTTATTATAACAATTAAATATAGTATGAAATCGATATTTAATAATTAAATAATGTAATTTTTACGGAGAAATTATAAAATTATAATTACTTTTATGGCAAACGTATAAAATAATTGAAGAGCTTGATGCAATTCTTAAAAAAAAAAAAATTGTGTGTTACATATGAATAATATTCTTTTATATAAAAAATATTTTTTATATTCATTGAATATATTTACTTTTATTATAATATACTTTTTTAAATCCATTTTTACGCTGATTTTAAATCTGCATTTATATTTTTTCTATTATGTCATTTTAGAGATTATTACTTATTGGTGAGAGCTAAGAATTTTTATGGACAGACTATCGGTAAAATATTTAATCTGACCGATTATCTCTATTTGTGTCGAGTTGTCATTCCGTCAGTCCGGTTATTTACTCGTAGAAATAGAATCCAATAGCTAATCGCCAGGGGCTTTGGCTTCTTGCCTAAAGGCCTGCCAAAGGGAGTGTTCCCTATTAGCCTGTTCCAAAAATTTCTTATTAAAAAAAGCATATTCGGAATATAGCTTGTAATGTAAAAAAGCACAGTAGGGTTTCAGCACAGTGTGCACTTGGTATAAATGGGAAAAGTATAGATGATATCTGACAGTGATCACCATCATAAGAAATGCTTCGATGAAATTATGTAGATGTGTTAATTTTAAGAAATTGTTTGTTTAATCCGAAAGCAAATGTTAACATTTCGTAAAAAAAATTGCTATTTTGAATCTCCCCTGTAGACAAGTGAAGGGTCAGATTTCAAAAAATTTACATCAAATGAAAAGGAAATACGTAATGTGTTTATATAAAAAATATTATTTTGGTTCGTTCATTTTTCAAAAAGTTATGACAGCTTTAAGTACTAAAATACCATCAAGATAGAAAATGATTTTTTACATAAATATTACATTTTTTTGTTCAATTTAGGGAAATATTGTGAGTATCAGGACAAATTTTTGTTTTTAATTTATAATACAGAACATTAATTTAACATACATTTGAAGGATGCTGTAATTTTAGAACACTTTTAAAAGTTAATTTTTGTGAAGGAGTTGTCATTTTAAATCCTTCCCTGTGGGCAGATGAAGGGTCAGATATAAAAAAAATATATACCAAATCATAGGTAAATACCTAATATATCTATCAAAAATAATTTGTTCTCATTTATTTATTTTTCAAAAAATTATGGCAATTTTAAGTAAAAAAAATTGAAAAAATATCAAAAATTATTCATTTTTAAATTTGTAATTTTTTATGAGGTTTCCCTTTATTTACGTAGAACGAGGGAAATGTTTACAATTTTTGAGGATAATGTCTTCAGATAGATACGATTTCTGATCTTTTGACGCATTGTTTATTATAATCGGCCCAGTGAGAGCTGAAAATAAATGGTAATAGAAACAAAAAAAAAATTACATCATAGAAAAATTAATACCTTTTCAGTTTCGCATTGAAGCTAAGTCATTTATATTAAAATTATGTGTTGATTAATTGTGTTATGTAATTTTATAAAATATGATTAATATAGAAATAAAATTTGTTTTTTATATTTATACCTTGATGCTCTAAATTAAATACTTAATTTATTAAAAGTATGTTTTTAAATAACCCAAATTTTTTGTTCATTGTAAGATCATTTGTTAGTTTTAATTCAAATAATACTAACGTATATTCTACATTATATGTTAATAATAATTGTGCTTTAATTATCACTGAATGTATTTAAATATGATAAGTAATCAATTTTATTCGTCTAATAAATTGAAAATATTATTAGTTAACCTTATTTTTATACATAAAGTTCTCGCGATAAATGAAGAAACAGATATACAAGTAATTCTAAATTATAAATTAAAGTAAATCTTTCATCTTTAAAGTTTACTTTGAATTTTCAATTATCATTGGACTAACCGTAGTCACTCCATAATACGAATAAAATATTATTATTAATTAACATTCTTTTTAATTATATAATTTCTCTACTTTTTAGCTGTAGATTTAATTTTATAAAACTTAATAAAGTAATTTTTTATAAAAAAAGTTTTTTAATGTACATATATATTTATTTAAATCTATTGCAAAGGTAAAATTAAAATTTTTGTGTAAAAAAAATCATTAAACAGGAGATAGTTTAATCCAGTATTTAGTAAAATAATTACTGTTGTTAAATTCTATAAATTCAAGTAACTAAAAATAAGTAAAATTAACTAGCCACAAGTGATCAATTTTTATTATAACTAAAAATAAAATAAAATAAAAGATAACTTAAAAAAGAATACCAAAACACATTATTCTAACAAAAACAGATGCTTAATTTAAATATTAATATATTAATACTACTTTTTTTATCTTATTCAATATTTTAGCCTCCAAATTATAACAGTATTTTTGACCATTTGTTTTTACAAGTAATAAGTACATTTGAAAATGATATCACAAGATGGGTCCTCGTAAATGATAAAAATGAAATTAACTATTCACTAATATGTTCAAATGATCTTGAATTATTATCGATAGCTTGTGATAGTGATTATATTTGTAGACAAAAAAAAATTAATAGCTTAAACAACTTAAAAAGAATACTTGAATCTTTGGAATGTTTTCATGTTTTTTTATGTCTCCATATTTTAAATATTTTTAATAGCAATATTACGAAAAAAAATGAAAATCCAAATCATAATTTCATATTAGGATTTCAACATGTAAGAGATTATGCGGTAAGAATGATTTCATTTTTTATTTATGGCAAGTTTGTAGTTAACTCTTGGCAGTTAGACTTCTCAATGAATGTTATTGATATGGTAAGACTACAAAATGATAACAATGAATCGTTTAAAGACATATTAGTACTTATTAATGATCCATCGTTATTAACATCTATGAATGAGTTTTGCGAAAATTGTAAAAGATCTAATCAATTTTTTGCAACATTTACTTCAGTTTTAACTAAAACATATCAAGACAAACTTGATCCATTCAGAGTTTCTGTAAATGTTAAATATTATATAAAGAAAATTTTGTCAAGATTAAAAATTAATTGTATAATTAAAATGGACAGAACATCTCATATGTTAATAAAAAAAGGTAATATTATATAAAGTTTTTAAATTTATTTAATAATTTGACGCTTAACACTAGTCACTCAATTTCTTTTAAAATAATGATATGATAAAAAATTTATTTTTCCTATTTTTTAGTTTCATATATTCTTTGATATTACTTACAATTTTAAATAATTCCATTTATTCATTATATTACATGCGTCCTTTATTATTTTATTATTTATAAAAATGTTAATTTTATTTTTTTTAACAGCAGCATTCATATTAAAAAAAATTTTTTAATTTATTTTTGATACTCTCTAGATACATGTATATTTTGATTTGTCAATTATTAATATTTAAATTTCAGTACAAGCATTTAACTAGTTTATAAAAAAAAAGTGATCTAATTAAGAAAATGACTAGTTGATAACAACTTTTTATTTATTATTTGGAAGTTATTACCATTTTAAAATTACGTGGTGTCCTGCATGGTCCTCGGATGACAAACAGGTAGAAGCGTTGATGGCGACGGTGCGCTGGTGCGGATCGGTTTGTTGAGTTCGGTTGTGCGATACGTCTGGACTTAGTGGTGTACATTTTCGATGTCGTCACTTTGATGACGGGAAGAAGTCTCTATGTATTATTTGTGGTGGGTCGTTGTCTGTCGTGTGGCACTTGCAGGACTTGCACCGTGGTGGTTGGTCTTCAAACTACCAATACTTATAGAAGGGTGACAGGTGTAATGGTGGAGTGGGTTGCGGGGAACCGTGTATCATGAAGCATCGATGGACTGTGTCACATGTAATATTTATTCGGTAGTTTTCTAAAGATTTTGTCTCAAAGGGATATGTATAAGAATTTTGTTATAACCCCACCAAAATTTATATTATTTATGAAAAGAACAATTCTTTTTATATTATTTAACTTTTTTAAAATTATAATTTTCTTTTGGCTTTTGCTAGTTACATACATATAATCATTGGGTGCAATTTTTTTTTTTACTAGAAATTTGGCAAATTTGTAGTTAACTCTTGGCAGTTTGACTTTTCTTATTAATATATATTAATGATTCACTGTTATTAATACCTATGAATGAGTTTTGTGAAAATTGTAAAAGATCTAATCAATTTTTACATCATTGACTTCATTTTTATCTAAAACATACCAAAACAAACCTGATTCATTCCTGGAAATGTTAAATCTTATATAAAAAAAGTATTTTCGCATATAAATATTGCTTGTGTAATTAACTTGGATTAAATTACTCATATATTAATTAAAAAAGGCAATTTTATAAAAATATTTAGTTACATATGGTTTGTTTTTTAAATTGGTTTATTTTTAATAATTTATCATGAAGTATTAAATTGGGAGCTTTTTCAGCGTTTTGTCTTAAATGGATATATATAAGTATTTTATTATAATCCTTTTCAAAATTTATATTGTTTATATATTTATTTGCTTCTGTGAAAATGTCAATGTGTTTTATCAGAGCTGTGTTAACTGTCATTTGTACTCTATGGCAATTATATATTTGTATCACTATTTAACACGGCTAGAATTTTAATATATTTTCCTTGAAAGATTTTACACTTTAAACCCTATATCAAAGCCGCTTTCTACGTTTGAAATAACTTAAAAATCATTAGTTTTATATTAATTATTCTTATCAATTGTTTTATAAAAGAATTTAAACATGTCATTCATAATATAATACACACGACTTATTATTGATGATATATCAATTTTATAAAATTATGTGGGTACACGAATATGCAGATATCAACAAAGTAAACCAAATATTGGTTTCTTATTTTATTTGTAGTCCCAATTTTGTTAAAATGTCCATCACTCGCATCCTGAGACCCCCCAATCTTGAAAACTGGTCCAGATTCATAATGTATTACTCATACTTATGACTTATTATTAAAATCATATCATCTATCGCATAAAAGTAATTTCAATTAAATTGACCTTGATATCTATTTAAAGTGTAGGTATAAAATAATTTGTATTTATAAAATTAATAACATCGATTGATATAAAATAAAAGCATTTTTAAACATAATTTCCTGTGAATAGGGGATAAGAATACTTCTACGGCACCTCTGCCAGGTCAGGTCCATGTCAGGTCGACTGCCGGCGTAAAAATCTTTGTCAATAAAGTATGAGGAATCCTGAACAAAACTTAGGCGGATTGTGCCCATCTCGGATGTACGCGGGGACAACAGAAAATAGTTAAAAACGAAGAAGGCCTAAGGAATAAAGTGTTCGATACTAGCCGGAAAACTTATGCGGTAGCTGTTTCACCAGTCATGTAAACAGGTCTACCTAATACTTGTAGTGTCAACGGTGTAGGGACATCAATACTTAGCTCAAGGCTGGACTCGTGTATAAGGGAGAAAGATAGATACAAAGTAAGAATAGGTACTTGGAATGTTGGAACATTAACTGGTAGAAGTAGACAATTAGTAGAAGTATGGAAGAGGAGAAAAGTTAACATTTGTTGTGTGCAGGAAATTAAGAGGAATGGAGAAAAAGCAAGGAAAAAAGGTAAGGGTTACAAAATAATATACTCAGGTAAGTTTAATACAAAAAATGGTGTTGGGATAATAATGGATAAGGAAATGTAAAATAAAGTATTAGATGTAGCTAGGAAAAGTGACAGAATTATAGTCGCAAAATTAATTTTCGAGGGAAAAGTAGGATTTGATGTAATAGGCAAGGAAGTATTTTGAAAAGAGATGGATGCGGTGATGCCATGAGTACATGGCAATGAGGATGCGGTGATAGGTAGAGATATGAATAGACATGTAGGAAATGAGAGAAGTGGATATGAAAGAGTACATTGAGGGTATGGTTTTAGTGGGAAGAATGAGGCTGGAGAAATAATCTTGGATTTCACAGTATTGTATGATCGTGCTGTGCTTAATACTTATTTTAGAAAGAGGAAAGAACATTATATAACTTATAAGAGTGGGAGTATTAGATCACAGATTGATTATTTTATGCAGAAAAGAGGATCGTAAAGCGAGTAAAAGATTATAAAGTTATACCAGGCGAAAATGTAACTACACAATATAGACAACAATATAGTTTTAAGTATTTAGGATTAGTTGTACAAAAGATGGTTTGGTCATGTTATGAGAGAGGAATCGGAAGTGGTAAGAACAGTTATAGAAATGAATGTCGAAGGAAGACCAAAAAAATGATGGAGGGATATAATTGAATACGATTTGAGAATGGCTGATGTTAACGTAGATGATGTGGGTGATCGTGTCAAGTGTAAGTTTAGGATAAGGGTGATCGATCCCAAGTAGTTGGGATTAAGGCGTGGAAAAATAAGATCATACTTCTAAATCAAAAAACTACTAATCGGGAATAATAAAGCAAATAGAAATATTTTACTTTTGGTATAATCCACTAATTTTTTAAAATTAAACACTATCTATAGATTTGCATCGAAGCGTTTCTTATTATAGTTATTATAATTACTGTTAGATATCATCTATACTTGACCCAAATATGCCATGTCCATATTGTGTCACAATCCCACTGTGCTTAGGTTTTTTTTAAATTCAAATTAGTCATTTTTTTAAATTTTTCTCTCGAAAATTGGTTGATACAACTTTAGGATAAGTACTTATTTAGTTTCAAGCATTTTTATACATAAAGTGGGTAAGTAGCGTGTGTATAAAACTCGTACTGATGTAAATTTATAACGAATTCTCCACTTGTAATATATATACATACATTTCTTTATAGGTTTATCATGGTTCTTAAATCTCCCCTACTATATTTGATAAGAAAGTCTTCATTAACTAGATGACGATGAAATCCATATGTAAGACTTGTAAATGGTAATCATGAGTTAATGATTTTCTGTGCGTTTTCATGGCATCAAAAAAGTAAACAATAATTAAAATTCTAGTATGTTCATACATATGAAGAGACTAACACCATAGGATATTTCATCTTTTAATTCTTACATATAACTATATGTAGCAAATATATTTAAATAAAAATTACAGAAAGCTTAATCATAAGACTTATAGTTGTAATAAAAAATATGACATATCCAAGTTTAATTGGTGTTTAACGTCACAATCGTCATTTATGCCGTTCATCTTTCCTGTCAGTACGCTTTTTCATTTCTCACGTTAGCAACCAAATTTTCTCTTACAGTATATTTTTTGTGTGTTTTACAACTTTTAGCTTACATTTGTAAATATAACTAACTCTTTGCTTAAAAATAAACACTTTTATAATTCAAAAATACTTTACTTCTTATTAATATACTTTATTTTATCATTGATTTTCTAGTGAATATCAAGTAAGAGTAGCTTTAACACATTATATATAACATTAAGTAATGAACAAGTCAGTTATGTCATCCCCCTATTTACTATTTTCAAATAGTTACAATTCTCCTCTCTTTCACCTTTATATGTTTTGGTTATTACAATTAATTACCTGAACAAATCATAAAATATTGATTAATTCTCGTAATTGATTGAAAATTCTGGTAGTATAAGTGGTGTTAATTTTAATGCTACATTTTATGTTTTATTTATTTCACACAAGGTATCTTGGTTTAACTACTATATTAACTAACTTAAAATTTGAGAAGCAGAGTTTTATTTTATGACCCCCTATATTTATCATATGCACAGAAAAGAATGCGTTCATATGTTATTCTTCTTTGTTACGCAACCTTTTTTTTTTTTTTAACAGTCGGCATTACTAGGCCGCCCGGGAACTGCCGTTAGGCATTACTTCAGGCGGCCCATGCTGTCTATATAATTCACACCACCACGTTGTGAATCATCCCGAAATTAATCAAGAGCTGACTCACAACGTGGTGTGGACTCTTCCCGTTAACCAGATTCCAGAGTGGGAACCGTTAAGGAGAGTTGGCAAATAACTTACAAATTAAAACACAAAAATAAGAACCTAAGGTACCGGCCTAAACCAGCGCCTCAGGCCCACTTGTGCCGGGCGCGCATGGTTGCCTCTGTCTCAGACTTCCGCTTCCACCTTGTTTTTCAAGATGGATTCGGCGAATGCCTGGACGAGACTCCACGCCTCCCGGCTCCTTATAATAAGGTCCATAATGGACCTGACTCGGAGCGTGGACCCTAGTCGGGACTCTAAAGAGTAACCTTATATTTACAATTGTTTATAATAATAAATTTAATTTTATAGTATAGATTTTTATAAAAATTTGTTTGTTAAGAAATTAATGAGGAGTAGTACATTTAATGAATTACATTAACTTACATTTTTTGCATTCAAATTAGCTTGTGTGTAAAAATTCTAATATTATGATTATATTAAATTCGAAAATTTATAAATGCAAACGTAATCATAAATAATAAGATTTTATTTTTACTAAATTAATATTAATTATAAATATTTATATATTTGATATAGCAAACCAACAAGAAATAGAAATTGACCCAGATTTTGAAAAAAAAAAACAAGAATTTCTTAAGAGTCTTAAATTAAATAAACTCGAAATTAAAATTTACGAGAGAAATACTGCTAATCCCAAAAATGGGTATTCAACTATAAAAGATCTAGGAAAACGGTTACAGGCTAGTAATTTCTATCGTGCATGTAAAAGACAACCTACAACGTGTGGCAAGAGTCTTTTGAAAAAAGTAATGTACATCTATAAAAAAAAGGAGCTCATTTTAACTGATGAATCAAAAAATAACTTGTAAGTAATAATACGCATAATTTGATTCAAATTTATCATAAGTAGTTTTTGTAACTTAATATTTAATTTTTAGAAGTAATGTAAACTATGGTAAAATTAACGAAGAAGTGGCTATAAAAGAATTTAAAAAAAAAACTAATATAGAGATTGAACCATGTGGTGTATTTATTGACGAAAATTTGAACTACTTAATTGCAAGTCCAGATGGTTTGATTGGAAGTGATGGAATCGTTGAAGTAAAATGTCCTTTTAACGCTAAAGATATGACTCCTAAAATTGCTATTACAGAAAAAATTATAAAATACGTCCATTTCGATAAAAATGGAAATCTATTACTTAAACGCACTTCTCAAGAATTTTATCAAATACAAGGAGAATTGCATATAACACAGAGAGAGTATTGTTATTTAATAATATGGACTGGGAAAGGTATTTATAGAGATTTTTATTTTATTTATTTAACGGGTAAAAACCAAATTTAAATACAATGTTACACAGTAATTTAAAATAATTAGATACTAAATATAATAAATATCAATAAATGATATACTAAACAAATAAAATAATAACTTAATATGCTGAACAATAAGACTCAAATTATAGATGAAATGTAAGGAGCAAAATGTTAAAGAAAATAAAAGGAATCATATGAAAAAAGTTCAATATTTATTAAATTACAAGAACGCACTAAACGGTTGGAAGAAACCTTTAATACATAATCCGATTGCTTATTTGATATATCAATAGTTGTTTTTAATCTTATGTGGCAATTACCAACATGAAAATTTAGTTTTTTTGAAAATTCAGTGCAAAAAATATTATTTATTAGAATATAATACAAAAAGTAAAGATCTAATTTAATTCTTCTCTGACAAAATGTATCAAGGATGTTTAGTGCATGTTACAATTATAAAACACCAAACGTAAAAATGCATGTTGAATAATTTCTAATACTATTTTTTGTTCGAGTAAATAAGGTTTACGCCAACGGGATCCTACCAAGCGGTTGGGATATATGACAAGTAAACGCTAAAAAATCTTAAATAATAAATTGTGAAAAAAATACTATTCGTTTAGATATTATTTTTATATAATGTAATATAGCTTTTTAAGTTTATATTTTTAAATAGCTACATTGTGTTATATAAAAATAATAACTAAACAAATGTGAATAATATATAATAATAATATACGCATAATAATATTATATCTTACCTGTTTGAATCCACGGATTCAGTTGCTACTACTGACTATACAAACAATCTTATAAAGTATTCAGCTTTAATCATTGAAGTTTAAGAAACGACTGAATAAGATTGCAGCCCAAGTTTTTGAATGACGGCCAGGAATTCAATAAGAATTGTATTTCATTCCTAAGATTAGTGTTAATATTTATGGGTAAATACACTAATCCACACCATTTATAACTTTTTAAAGTGTTGAATAGTTGTGCACACTTCCACGGCTCATTGATATGGGTTAAAGAACAATACTAACTAAATAAATTCGTGATATAATCTTCATTCACCGGATCGTTGATCAACTCATATAACTGGCGTTGAGCACTTATAAAATTGGTTACATAGTTGGTAAAAATATTTTCGGTAATCCACGACGTTCAATAATGCAAGTCATTGCCATCAGGATTGCTTAGTTGATAAATCCGTTACAAATTTTAGGTGAATAGCTTTGACTGTAAAACAGACAAACATTGCCATAAATTTTGTATTCTCTTACTTAATGTAAGCGGTGTTTTTGTCATATAAAGGGACTTGAGAAATTAATTTTGACCCGGGAAAATGGCTGACAATCTGAAACTGCGCACTGTGATAAGGTAGTTCACCAATCAATGATTGTGGGTTTATTTCTGAGAAGCGTACGCATCTAATACACAGACTGATTTCATGACGGATAAGTATTCTAAGTACTCGATGACCACTATGACGTGTGAGATTGTGCCAATGTCTCATAATAAGGATTGATAAATAGATTGATTTTGCACAACAATACAGGATACTTTTGACTTTCAGGTAAATTTGAATTTGACAAACGTACACCAACATGAATCATCCCCTGGTCATTTGTGAAAGATTGAAGTGTAGCCAAGTATTCTGACAATAGTAGTAGTATAGTATTCATTCAATTCATGAATAAGTGTTTGAGCTGAGTATGATTAAATAGTAATAATATAGATTGTATTAATCCAACTCTATACCAGTCAAGAAGTCACAAGTAACTAAGTGAATACGGAATTTTTATACAGCTCGTTATACGTGAGACGACGCTTATTAAATTTGAAAATGTTGAGAACCCAGTAAAACATTCCACCCTGATTTTAGTGTTAATATGTTAGGAAGTAAAATTATAATATCAAGTAAGTGATCATTAGGTATAGAAAGTATCATGGTGCACCACTCAAGTATTGGTCATGTCAATACACAGATCCCTCACTTTGAACTCTGACAGCACGTAAGCCGTTATTAATTTGCCGGATTGTCGACCAAGGCGATATAATTCAATCGACAATGAGGCAGCAATGAATGAATTTTAAAGATATTGTTAGACACAGCTCCATAACCGCGTTCCAAAACGTCAGAGAACCTATTTAGGAGTTCAGTACTACAACAGAATAGATAAATGTTACAATTTTGTTGTTATAATAATTTTGGGTAGAAATTTATATTGAACTGAATCTTTACGTTGATTTCAATTCATTCTTAATACAGTAAGCCCTTCACTACTTTTAGCCTCTAATATAACAAAATTACATGACCAATTTTCTGGAGGAATAGTCTCCAATACATATAAAACTTTGCTTGGTCATTTCTTTAACTCTATACCTGTCTAGCTGATTAAAATGAAATTTAGCGCAATCATGATCAATAGTATACTTTAATATTCGTAACGCGAGGTATGGTGCACAGTTAACATCCTTGAATCATTAAAATTAAGTTATTGTGTTAAATTCGAACTCCTGAATGGAATATGAAGGTGATGCACGCCACATTACGAATAAAACTGAAACCGTCTAAGCTTCTGGTTGATTTCAATATGTTAGTACATCTTACAGATATTTGTGGTGAATCCATATCGGAAAAAACGGATTAACAACAATACCTGATACTGATACAAATATTGGTTAGATTTTACAGACCACTGTACCTTAGATACTCTGAACAGACTTCCCAGTCATTTCTAATACCTACGTAGTCCACTTTAAATTATATAACTCTAGTCTTGTCACACATACCAACGTAATAACACAAATTTGTAATGCAAAATCTATGGTCGGCCGTATATTATGGAGCGTACCAACCATATGGGCTATTTGAACAAATGTGGTTTCGAATTTTTAAATTATCAGCGAACAGCAGCATAAAAGAAAGTATAGGGGAAAAATCATTTATATATAATAAAATATAGAATAGAAGCTAAATCCTTGTAGAACTCTTGTTGATTTTTAAAAGTGTTAAATACATCATTATTGTATTTAACAAATTGAACACAGTTAGTAAATTAAGAAAATAACCACAATAAAATAGTGTCACAATTTTCATACGTTTTTAATTTATTGAATAACATCGATTTAATTTTTATTTACAGACAAATACATCGTCTGTGAGAACAGTTAGTAAAAACTAGCTGCTCAAATATTTTAGGAATAATAAATGACATTGATAATGGACGATAGTTTATAATATTAGTTAGATCAAGACCTTTTGGTGACGGTGAAATTATGCTACTTTTCCAAAACTGAGATGATAATAAAAGATTATAAATGCAATAAAGTGGTGGGATAATAATATATATACAACGTAAAAAAAGTAGTTCAATACCAGGTCAGGTAAAACTATATAAAGAGTATAAGGATTCAAAGATCCCAAAAAAAATATTTGATGAGAAGAAAGTGGGGAAATGAGAACATGGCATATTATTTTTAAATGAAATGAAGAATTTGAATTAATTGTGGACTGATTTTTATAAATACTTGAAAAATAATCTGCAAACATGTTAACAAACTAATAATTTATATAATTGGTTATTTGTATAAAAGAATGAGACATCATAATTTTTTATTCTGAAATAATGGTTAAAAAAAGTTAATAGAATATTATTTAAGGTTCCTAGACATTAAAAAAAAAAATGTGACCATAAGTCATATTATTTATTAATTAATAAGGATATTTCATTAGTCTCTACAAAATATTCTATTGACTTCTGATTATAAAGTTAGCAATAAAATTTATTAATTGAAAACATTTACAGTAAATATATACTTTGGTCATTTTTTCTAGCCTATAATATTTTTGAAATAGATTTTGGAAAGATAAAATAAGAATCTCCTATAAATATTATTTAAATTACTCCAATAGTACGTATACACAGAAAGACATGTTTTTTTTATATATTACGCATTAATCTAGTTAAACAATATATATTTAATCAAATATAACAGATAAAAAAGTTATAATAACTGAATTTAAGTATTGATTTTATTATGTATCAGAATAATTGTAAATAAAATTTTAATGTTACATGAAATCATGTACAAAAATTGAATTAAAAATTAAGCAATTTATAAAAAAAAAAAATTATCACTTGTGGCTAATATTATTATTATTTAAAATTAAACAACTTGATGAGAATATTTTTAATTATTAAAATCTAAAATTGATTAGTTTATTAATTTTAATATAATTTTTCTTAGGAATGGTTTATGAAAAAATTATGCGCGATGATGTATTTTGGAAAAATAATATGGAAAATCAACTAATTAATTTCTATGAAAACTGTATGTTACCTGAACTAATCAATTCTCAATTATTTGAAAATAATGTAATTCAAACTAGCTAATATTATTTTTCCTAAAAATATTTATTAATAAGTTAACCTTATTTTCTTGAAATTTTTATTTTTTTTTCTCTGAATTTAAAGAATTAGTTTTATTTGAAATAAAAGTACATCTACAAACTAAAAATAATTTTTTGAAATTGTTGTACTTATTTACACTGTGATTCTGTTATCGTGATACAATTAATTAATCAAAAAATAAAAATAAAATTGAGATTTTATTTTTTGTAGTATAATTATTAACACATGTACTAAATATCACACATATATATATATATATATATATATATGAATAAAGCAAAAACCATCTAAGGAATGTTTCTCTATTAAGGTAATCAAAATAACCATTTATTAACACATTTTTCAAACCAGTCCCTTACAATTAATTAACACAACAGGGTTTCTATCACAATTAACCAATCACAAATAATTATCCAATATCTCAGGGATTTCAATAGAGATCGCTAGCTTACTTTATCCGCCATATAAATATATATTTTTTTAGAACACTCTCTTCATTTTCTCTCTCTAGCAGCTCTCAAACTCCTCTGGCTGCTCTTTGTCATTATTCTCTTACATGGAATCTAAGTAAATATTTTGTTCTTGGTTTTTTTTCTATTATCATCCAAGATGGTGAACATTGTTTTAAATGATTCATTAATATTTTACCCAGAAATAAGTTTTGTTTATTTTTACTATTTCCTAATATCCTTACAAGAAATAAATATAGTTTGTATTTTATATAAGTTTAATATATTATTGTGCCCTTCATTTCTGGACAGCCTTAAATGTGCCGAAAAAAGTGAAGAAGTGTAATTTTATTTATATTGGCATAATAGCCTTATACATTATCATTCATTCATAATAAAGCTTATTGTGCCCATAATTTATGAACAGCCTTGTTTTGTCGAACTAAGTGAAGAAGCGTAATTTGTGATAATAATAATTTAGCCTTAGTAGTAGTACTTTATGCCTGTGTACTCGCCAGCCTGAAAGGACTATGCCAATTACCTTCCACTAAAGTACAGACAGTTGAGGTAAAAAGTAGTACTAAATTTATAAAGAATATTTTTGAATTGCGCTATATCTATTGATGGAGTTTAGATTTATTTTATAAATACAACACCGTGGTCAAATAGATATTCAAGGACGATAAATTTTTATTATTAATATATAAACAAAAGCTGTAAAAGTAACACTAGATGTTCTGTAAGGAAGTTGAAAGATAATTCATAAGTGCATCGCCGGACTGGTTCGCGTTATCCGCGGTCACTCGGCGTCACCCGACCTGTCGGACAAGGAGAGGTAGCTGTGTCGCAATCGCCATCCAGCGATAAAACCGAAAATGCAATGCGACCGTATCATAATCCTCCCTCAGTCCAGCCGATCAGCTAACCTTTCGAGACTAGGGTGATTAGTTTGCCTTAATGCGCTCCAGCTCGGGGAATTCTTGAACCACAATGGGAACCACATCCAGGACTGACTTTTCTATTTACATTTCGTCCGGCTGCTAAAACTCCAACCCTGACTGGGGAGGATTTACCTGGTCGGTTCCTAAGAACACGATCGATAAATTTGGTTACCAACCCATGTTTTCATCGGGCTGGGCTCCCCTTCCTACTCCACGTTGTTCCACTACAGCCAGTGACTCCTGATGCCGCGGACTGAATTGCCCATTCTACCCTCGCACACTGTTGCGGTGATTCGGCCGTCGCTCGGTCTCCGGGTTTCTCCGGTTTCCGCTCGAAGGGCCCGGTTGGTTAAACCAGTGTTTCTCAACCTGGGGGTCGCGAGCTAGTTATTTAGGGTCGCTATCATATGATTTAAATCATTACAAAAAATTACAAGTCTCCAATGTTTATATCAATTAATATTAAAATTCTAAATAATACGAGAATAATGTATCAAAACATAACATATTATGTTATCGTGTATAAGAAGTTTAAATATAAATTAAAACGGAAAACCACTATTAACAACAAGTCTTACTGTTAGGCCGTTTACTATCGATAAATAATAATAATAGGTTGATAAAATGATAATTTTGTTTGACTTCGTCGATCATATCAATCGCTGCTCATTGTTCACATCTCCGTTGTAAAGTAATACACACTTCAACATGAGTAAACAGTCACAAATGACGAATTTTTTTAAACGACCGCTGAAAAAATCGACTTCAGATGATTAAAATTCGAATAAACATAATTTGGAAACTACCGACAAAATTAATGAACCACCTCTCAAAAAGGTAAAAATATTAAAATATAATGATAGTTATATTGAATATGGTTTTACATACTTTAACGAAAATGGAACTGATGTTCCTCAATGTGTTATTTGTAGTATGACATTGGCAAATGCATCACTAAAACCAAATAAGCTCATTAGACATCTTGAAACAAACCATGCTCAGTACAAAAATAAAACAAGGGAATTTTTTTTAAGAAAATTGGAAGATTTCAAAAAAAATAAAAAAATGATAAACACGTATACTACTGAAGATAAAATCTTTCTAAAATGTTCTTATTTGGCAGCCCTACACATAGCTAAATCAAAAAAACCGCACTCGATAGGGGAAAAATTGTTAAAACCATGTATGATTGATATTTGTACAGAATTATTTAGTAATGAATACGTTACTAAGATAAAAAAAATACCCATGTCTAATGATACAATAAGTAGGAGAATAAATATTATGTCTAATGATATTGAAAATCAGCTTATTGAAAAAATTAAAAAATCTATATTTTACGCAATACAACTTGACGAATCTACTGATATAAATAATCAAGCTTTATTATTAATGTATGTGAGGTACGTAGATAGCGATTTAAAAGATATTCAAGAAGATTTTTTTTGTAGCTTAAATTTAAAAACTTACTGTACTTCTGAAGAAATTTTTAATACTATTTCATCTTATTTCCAAAAAATTAATTTACAATTTTCTAATTGTATCGGTATCTGCACTGACGGAGCTGCAGCCATGACCGGAAAATTCAATGGTCTTGTCACACGTGTTCAAAAAATTTCTCATAAAAACATTATATCAACTCACTGTTTCATTCATCGTGAGCAACTGGCTGCTAAAGATATGAACGAAAACCTATTTGATGTCCTAAATGTATCTATAAAAATTGTTAATTTTATTCGAGCTAGTGCCGTAAACACTCGTATTTTCAAAGTAATGTGTGAAGAAATGGGTTCAGGTTTTAAAAGTTTGCTACTACACACTCATGTTCGATGGTTGTCAAGAGGAAAAGTTTTGGCCCGGTTGTTTGAACTGAAAACTGAAGTAGAAATATTTTTGAGAGACAAAAAATCACCACTTAGTGATTATTTCGAAAAAAATATATGGTTAGCAAAACTTGCATATCTTTCCGATATATTTTCAATTCTAAATGATTTGAATTTAAGTATGCAAGGACCACAAACTAATCTTTTTATATCGTACAACAAAATTGAAGCATTTCTTAAAAAAATTGTACTATGGACAAATCGAGTTAATAACGAGATATTTGATATGTTTCCGAATTTTTTTTATATGATCCATGAAAATAAATTGACAAAAAATGAAATTAATGAAATGTGTACAATAATTAAAGAACACTTATGCAAATTAAAAGAGAAATTTTCCAAATATTTCGATCCCACTAAAGACATCCGTAAAAATTATAATTGGGTAACAAACCCGTTCGTACAATCAGATCAAAATATAATATCACTAACAAATGAAGAGAAACTGATTGAATTGAGTTCAGATATGGGATTACACGAGAATTTTAAAAGTTACAAAAACGTAGGAAAATTTTGGATATCCGTTCAAAATGAATATCCTAGTTTGGCAGAAGAAGCATTAAAAGTTCTCATTCCATTTTCTACTACATATTTATGTGAACACGGATTTTCTACATTGACAGCAGTAAAAAATAAAACTAGAAATCGACTGGAAATTTCAGCAACCATGAGACTAAGCTTAACAAACTCTATAAAGCCGAGAATTGACGACATAATTTCAAACCAACAGCAACAACCAAGCCACTAAGATCCTTGGTATATAAATTATTACCTTTTTTAAACAACAATAATTTTAATAATATGTGTATTTTATATTTATTATTTATAATATATAAATAAAGTTGTATTATGGTGTAAAATATATATATATATATATATATATATATATAACGTTTATAGTACTTCTACTATTTATCCAATGTATAAAAAAATATAAAAAGGGGTCGTTAAAAAATTGAAATTCAAAAAGGGGGTCGCTATAGTAAAAAGGTTGAGAAACACTGGGTTAACCCACGATCGAAGGCGGCTTAAAGTAACAACTGGGACCTCATCTCCCATACTTTGGCCGTTCTTACCCGGTCTCCGGTCCAGTTTTCTGGTAGTTGGTCGTAGGACTTTCCCATGAAAGCCGTTGCCTGCCTCATCAACCTGCGCGCCTGTCGACGTATTATCGTTACGGTCTCCGCAGCCAGCTGACGAGATGGATAGAACGGGCGTGGTTCAACTTGCTGCTGATTTCTGGACATTCTGTAACAGATTTTTATTATTAATATTACCTCCTGATGCGATGTAACATGCAGCTTTAATTGACGATTTCTTTTGGTCGTAAACACTCCCTCGCCTAGTCTTTTCGCTAGTTGCATGGGGTCGTGAAACTTTTTATCCGCACTGCATAGGGGATGTGCGCGGTAATACACCCAATCCCCTTTCTCAAAGCGCTTGCGGTGATTTTTACGGGACGAATTTTGACCAGCATCGTTTATACCGAAAGATGATCCGAACTTTTGAGAAGGTTGTCCTCCCTCCTCCGGAAATTTTAATTTTCCCACCGAAGATACGGCAGTTTTCGGTTATTACACCGGAGTTATTGTCATACTTTTGGTTTTTCGGGGAAAATTGTTGTTTTTACGGCAACGATTTGGTGTAATCCTTTTTATATCCGGTTAATTCTACTTATTTCAGGTTTTTATCCGTAGAAATAATATACAGCAGTCAATCATATTGGTCCAGAAAATACGATTACCAATGCTCCGGTAAGTTTCTTTGTATGACTGTGTTAAAGCTTTCATGGATTTTCTTGTTGCTTGAAGTGCTTGAGGATATATCCATGTTTGCAGTTGAGTTCTGATGTTTCGGACTCATTGCAGAGTCCATCTTCGGTTTCTTTGCATCCTGGATGTT